GGCTCACCCAGGCTGCTCCTGCTCCTGCTCCTGTCACCGCCGCGATCGCCCAGGTGTCAGTGCGTACCTGGCGTGTGGAACCCGGCTCTTGGGACAAAGGCTGCCCCAGTCCCCAGGACGGCCCTCCCCTTGGCCCCGGACCAGCAACCTGCCCAGGAGAGCCTGGCCAGGAGGCTCAGGCTGGAGAGCCAGGGTGGAAACAGCGTCCGGCATTAACCACTTCACTGCTGGAGAAGCGGCTCTGCCTGGGAGACCTCCACCCCCGTGGGTGCCTGCCCAACCCGACCAGGGCTCAGCAGGAGGCAGCTCCCCGTGGAGCTCAGGACAAACTCAGCCTGAACCTCTGCCCCTCAGGGAGCCTGCACAGGGGCTCATCCTGGGATGAAGGCAGCAGCTGAGGTCTGGAAGCCCCGCAGATGTCCCTGCCCCAGAGCTGCTGCATAAACACAATGAGGGAAAGCATGGGCCAAGCCTGCCACCCTGCACCCCTGCTGTCACCTGGCTCAGCTGTGCCCCACACTGCCCCATTGCAGGCAGGGGGGGACAGGACAGAAACAGGAGGGATCTGGCAGGGGGAGACCTGCCCTCCTGGCCAGGGGCCTGGACCAAGCCAGGGACCCACCCGTCCCCATGGCCAGGGACCCATCCCTACATTCAGGGTCCCATCCCCATGTTCAGGGTCCCACCTGTCCCCATGGCCAGGGGCCCCTCCCCACGGCCCGGCTCCCATCCCTCAGGCAGAGGTGCAGGCACTGCCCCAGTGCAGGTCGTCTCCGCTCTCCTCCTGTGCCTCGGGCAGGGCCAAGCTCCCGCCCCGGGCTGGCGGGGAAGGAACCCGGACGTCCGAGGCCGGCACAGGCCTCACTTTCGCTTTGCAGCGCTGGGCTGGGCGCAGGCAGAGCAGGCAGGGCTGCCCTCAGGCCGTGCCGGGGGGACAAGCAGAGGGAGGAACGGGCTCTGCCCAGCTCCGTGCACCTACGGCCGAGGAAGGAGGGGTGCTCCCGGCACAGGTATGGCAGGGGCCGGCCAGAACCGCAGCCTTCCTCACTGAGGGGTGGGCTGGAGGGAGACTTCACCCGTGCCCTTTCCCAGGACAGGAGGTGCTGGTGGGTGAGCACCCGGGTTCAGTGCCGCTCATCCCAGGGTGTTGCTTTGCTGCTGACCAAGGAGCAGGTTCGTGGTCTCCACAGCCAGCTACTCTGTGTCCCAGGGTGTTATTTAGGGGATGTGGGAGCTGCTGGGAGAAGAGGGAGCTGGAGAGACGGGCCAGGGGCTGGGGGGGATTAGGGCTGCCCTGGCAAACACCATCCCTCTCCGCAGCCCGGCGCGGGGAAGCAGATGCGCCTGCTCAGGGCGCTGGGCTGGAGCTCAGTGGCTGTGCTGGGAGTGCTGGGGGTGGCTGCCTTCCTCCTTGTCCTGACTCCGGTGAAGGATGCTGCCCTTCCTACGAGGAACAGAGTAGGTGCCCAGTGGGACCTGGGGGAACCTGGGGAATGCACCACCAGCCTCTTTCCATCTCTCCTCAGCCCTGCCTTCCTCTCTGCTTGCAAGTCTTCCCATAACCAGCCCAGCTTTCCAGGGCTTAATCTAATCAAGCTAGCACTGAGCAGATCAACCACCCATCAAAACCATGGCCCTGGATCCTTGGTAAGGATGGGAAAGAGAAGAGCAGCCCTTCTCCTTCCAGAACTGCTCCATCTGCCTCCCCAGACACTTTCTTTTCTCTCTTTTTAGACTATCCTGGTGGGTTTTCAGATCACCTGGTGGGTTTACATCTCTCTCTCCTGTTGCTTTCTACTGGCTGACCATTAAAAAAGAGTCAGGGTTTGTGAGATTTGCCACTTTCAAGGGCCTGGGAGCAGCTTTGGCAGCCTGAGCCCTTTGGGTCATGGCTGGATGTCCTCTGCTCTGCAAATGGCCCTGCTGGCCCACACCTATTCCCTTGCTGAGCTGTAACTTCCTTGAATGGCTAAATTGGGAGCATGAGAGGTGGAGCAGGCTGCTAAAGAGAGGTTGGATGTGCAGACCTGTGCTGCTCCTGTTCGTGTACAGGAACCAAAAGCAGATGCTGCACTTGGTGCAGCCCTGAGCGTGCTGTGACCCCGCGTCCCCTCTGTCTCCCCCAGTACGGTCTGGTGTTTGATGCTGGCTCCACACACACAGCTCTCTACATCTACCAGTGGCCTGCAGACAAGGAGAACGGCACCGGCATCGTCTCCCAGGTGGATGCCTGCACCGTGTCTGGTGAGTGTGCTGGGACATGTCCCTCCCTGTCCCCCAGCCTCT